AGAATTAAGTTTATCAAAAAATGTTCTCATTGTAAAAACCAAGTTAAATGCTTCATAACTACAGGTCGATTGAATACAAAACATGGGGACTGATAGTTTTGTTTTAATTTCTATAATATTATTTTCGTTTGAGTAGAGGGCTTAGCAATGCTTACGTCATGTTACTTGTTTCGAACAGTGAAAAATCTGACCTTTGAAACTTTTTCGTTCGCGAAATGTCAACACTATACTTGTACACCTACGATATTCATAGGAAGTATATTCGTCATATCATGACTTTTCATTTTGCACAGGACAAACTGTAAACAGGTAAAATATTGAATCCATTAGTAAATAAATATAATGACATTCTTGATTTTCGTTATCAACAAAGTGCCTCTATACGCAAGCGTTATCTGTAGTAGGATATCTCCAGGTGCCTATCGAAATGATAGTCTGTTCGGAAATAATGTCTTATAGTTAATAGACGCCCAAGGCATTGAATTTCAAAATCATGAGTTTAAAGCATGCATATAAAAGCGCATTGATGCATATTGTTACTCTATACACCTCTGTAGTCGTCTAACCAAAAGCAACGATAACATATTAGTGCACTTCCTTCATGGCTGCTACTCAATTAGCTGCAACATTCACAAGCCCATTACAAGTGGTTCCTATAGTTAACACCATTATAAACGGTATTTTTACTGTGGTATGTAAGATTAAAGAAAAAGCTAGGCAAGCAAAGGCAAATAAACGCCAGTGTCAAACACTTAGTGAGCGGATAGAAAGAGTCGCTTTGTATTTGCGAACACCACAAGTTATTAAACTAGCCCAACATGACATGGCTCCATTGACTCAAACAATCGAAAGTTTCCACGCGTTTGTTAACGAATGCCTTGAATTCATTTCTCAGTTTGTGGATACGGGATGGATGAAGCGATTCATCTCTAGTGCTCATTATCAAGAAGAATTCGCCAATCTTAACAATCAACTACAAAACTACTATTCTGAATTTACCATGGGTATTAATGTACATAATCTCATCGATAGGAAACAAGATGAATACGATCAACGAGAAGATCAAGAAATATTGACAATACTCATACAACAGCAACAAATAATGATTCAACAGCAAAATGCTTACTTTCATTTTCATTCAAAACAAATCGATCATGGATTTCAAGTTTTAGCTGAAAAAATTGAAGGACTCCGAGAAAAGTCTCAGGACAAAGAAAACATGCTCATACAAGATAGAGCAGCTATTCCGCAGACGTTCAACGTCAAAGATTTGACATCTTCTGAAATAGAAAAATGTAAGTTTGTCTCAAGATATATTCGATGTAAATATTTGTCAATAAAACATTTTATTTCTTTAGCTGCTGTTCTTTCTTCGTCCTTGCCTTCATCAAATGACATTTTTATCAATGGTGTCTGGTTCAATCGTTACCAGCAATATGGTGTATGGTATGGACCATTCCAACATTGTATGAGTTTCAACGCAAATAACAATATATTTCAAGGTCATGGCGAAGACAATGTAGGACAATTCATTTTGAGTGGGCAATATTCAAAAGATACCCAACAGATCAACGTGATTCAATCGTATAAAGTACGTTGATTTGATATATTAATTAAAATCGAAAATTTTCTTTTCGATTTATTTAGTATGGCACTGGTGATCCACAATTGAATTTTGGTCATCAATGTTTGTGTAAAATGACATGGAATAAAGAAAGACATGTTTTTGAGGGTATTATGTTTGTGCCAGATGGATGGACAATGGTACCTTGTGGTCTGTTCGAGATGTCATTTGTCAAATCTTGATGAGATGATAGTTTTTTTCATTGTAACACTTATTTCAAGCAATAAATTAAGAAATTGCTTCAATTTAACCGATGACACCAACATGAACATAACCAATAACTATACTGCCATCAACATCTCTAACACGTATTGCACTTAGGAATGTGCAAAATCACTTTTTTTCGGCCCAGGTCCCAGTTTCAGATTAAAGTTTTGTATTGATTTTAGCTCCATTTCATATATCCGATTTCCTTGCTAAAATCAAGTTATTATTTTTTGATATCTGTTACCCTTTGAATATTTATATAAAATCTACATGAATGTTTATTTGATTAAATATTTATTTTAAAATGCCATTATCGTTGACAAAAAACAAACAGTGACTTGTATCTATTTGTTATCTATTGATAGGGATGATTCGAACCAACCAACATGGGGGAATGTAGCAAATTTTGGGGGAAGGATGAATCATTATTTGTTCTAACAGAATACAAGAAAATTTTTAGATTGTGCATGAACAAAAAAATGAAAATACTTGACGATTGAGGGTGTTATACCCCTCACACTCTCGGTCGAGCCATCCCTATCTATTGAGGCAATAAATAAAGGAATAGCTGAACTGTTATCGAATCGAATTTATGTATATTGTGATTGACATAGTCAGAAAGCTAGACAAGTTATTGCAAAATTCTGATTCTTGAAATCAAAACTAGAATCAGTGAGGTATTCTTCTTGACATTGTAAAAAAAAATTGCTAGTTTTTAGATCTCTGATCATAAAAAAATAATAAATATCAAAATGCGTAGTGTAGTCTAGTCCTTGATAAAAAAATCTATCGGTACCAGCTTGAAAATATTGGTCCCGATCTCATCTTGCAGATCCCTAATTGCAGCACCACTTGCATATAGTAATCAATTGTTTGAATCTCTAAAATAAAGAAATTAAAATATAATCATGTTAATAGTTGCTTCATATGTTCAAAATATGAAAAGGAGAATAAATAAAATATATAATAAAAATCAGGTACGCAGGCAACGATTCTTAGGCGAGGAGACGGTTGTAGGAAAAGGGTGTGGGTGTGGTTTTTAGTGTACGGAAAGGTTAGTCGCACACTCACACCCACACCCTGACTTACCTTGTATTCTACACGGTTGGAAAAAATATTATTCCAGGGGGGTAACGCTATAATTTCAAATAGAAGACATAATGAATTTTATATCAAATGAAAGCTCGTCAAAAATGGGGTTTATTGATACTAAATAGTGAGGCTTGTAAAAACTTTCTAATGTCAAACTTAAGAAGTTTTCAGAAATTTTATATTTTTTTGGGGTGGAAAATCAAGGTGCCACTGATTCAAAAATGAAGTCAATTTTTTTTCTTGAATATTTTTACATGGTTTGATAGACCTCGTTGAGCTCTACAAAACTGTGCATGTTAAAAATTTTTTGAGGCATCTTTTTGAGATAAAAAGTTCAAAAAACTACTCGGGAAACCTCAAAAACATTTAAAAACTCTTTTTTTTTTCAAATTGAAGAAACACGCTCAATTTTTCAATAAAAGTAGCTTTTTTCGTTGTTTTTACTACCTCAGACGTCTCGAGATATACTCGTTCGATGCAGTGTGAAAAGCTGCGTCTAATGAGTATGTTTCGAAACGCCTGACGGAGTAAAAACAATGAAAAAAGCTACTTTTATTGAAAAAGTAAGTGTTATTCTTCCACATGAAAAATATGAATTTTTTTCATGTTTTCTAAGATTTTCCAAATCGTTTTTTGAATTTTTTATCGCAAAAAAAGTGTCTTAAAAATTTTTTAATGTATACAGTTTTATAGAGCTCGACGAGCTCTATCGAACCGTGTAAAAATATTCAAGGAAAACATTTTACTCCATTCTTGAATCACTAGTACTTTAATTTTCCATCCCAAAAAAAGTGTAAAATTTCTGAAAATTTATTAAGCTCGACATTAAAAGGTTTTCATAACCCTCACTATTTAATACCAATAAACCCCACTTTTAACGAGCTTTCATTTGATATAAAATTTATTATGTCTTCTATTTGAAATTATAGCGTTACCCCCTCTGGAATAATATTTTTTCCAACCGTGTATGTTTGACACTGAATTTGACCTTTACAAACAAGGAAAAAACCTTTCTTTAAGGTAAACAAGGCATTTAATGACGTCAAGATTCAACGTAGAATTTTTTTTATTCATTTCTTTTTGACGTGTGTCACTTTTTAGTGGCAAAACATTTCTTAGAGAAGTATGATTACCTCATCAACGGATTCATTTTAGTGATTTTTTTATTTTACGAATCATATTCAGAATTCTTGAATTTTATATCTACGAATATGCATGTAGTTCATAACATATTTCCTACTGAACACTTTAAAAATTTTGAGTTAGTTGTATAGAATAATTATCTTTCTAAATATATTTAAAACATATTTATTTTTGTGTAGATAAAATTATTGCAAGAAACAACAAGATTTATTCATTTTATAAAAGCGGAGATGAAGAAAACAATTGTCATTCGATGACGGTGTGCAATAACATGATGGTTTCGTCAGCAGCTTGCTTGGATTTTTTTTCATTATTTACCTGCAAGAACATAAAATTTCTTATCAGAAAAAGTTTGTCGTTCCACGTGTACTACAGAATCGATCTGAACAGAATATATTAATTTTTTCTTTGAATTTATAAATAAAACATATAAAACATAGTTTTAAAAATTCGTTAACTCCATCAAATAAGTGAGTATATGACTTGGTTGATTTTTATTTACATCTATTACTAAAAAAGAGTATTAAACCTATACGAAGAAATACAGAACAAAAAAAAATGTGAGTTAAAGAAAGGAAGTTGAAGAAAGAGAAAATATTGAATTACAGCAAAATACAATCATATATTTATTCAAATTGACACACACTGGAAACTTCTATTACATTTCTTATTTGTGAACATAAAATCTATATAATTTTATTATTAAAATTATTTTCAATTCTATTAACGAGCAGTTCTGAAAGATAAGAAATTGTTTCTATATTCAATAGGTCAATATTTCACTGAAATGTTTACTATTCCCTAAAGAACACTTTTTTTTGTACCCTAAAAAAAACAAAATCAATATAAGATTTTTACTGATTAAAAAAAAACAAAAGATAATCAAAAAATGATTATATTTTCAGATTAGAATCAATTCATTGAAACAATTATAATGGTTGTAAAAAAATTTCCTAATGGTGACAGATATGAAGGAGATTTGGAAGATGAAATGAAAAATGGAGAAGGAACTTTATATTATGCACATGGAGGTAAATATGAAGGTAAATGGACTGATGATTTACGAAATGGTTATGGAGTTAATACATGGGCTAATGGTAATCGATATGAAGGAAACTGGAAGGATAATAAGAAACATGGTAAAGGAACATTGTTTTATGCTAATGGAGGTAAATATGTTGGCGAATGGGAAGACAATATGAGAAGTGGTCAAGGAGAAAACACATGGGCGAATGGCAATCGATATGAAGGATCTTGGGCAGATAATCACCGACATGGTCAAGGAACATTTACGTATGCAGATAGAGGAAAATACGTAGGTGAATGGGTCAACGGTATGAGACATGGACATGGAATAAATACTTGGTTGAATGGCGATCGATATGATGGATTATGGAGATATAATAGAAAACATGGTAAAGGAACATTTTATCATGCAGATGGAACCAAAGAGATTGGTGTTTGGACGAAAGATAAACTAGATGGACAGCCGAATGATACAACAGAAAATGAAAATGAAAAAGCTGTTTCAAAAAATCAGATACAAATCAAAGGTTTTTGGCTAAATGGTCAATCTTTTATAATTCTATTAATGCCTAAATCATCTGAATGTCCTTATCTGACACTTGCACGTGAATTTTGTATTTCATTAAAGTGGGAAAAACCATTTTTTGATCGTAATAATGATCATTGCTATTGCAATCATTGTTATTTGAAATCATGGAATGATGTTATCGAAACTGGTGAAGGTAAATATGTTATCCCTCGTGGATGGGTACGATTAGGTCTTCATATTGATCCAGTTTTTATGAAAACTCATGATATTTGGAATAAATGGATAGTAACATTTCATGGAACAACAAAAATTGCAGCACAATCAATTCTTACACATCGTCAATTTTGTCTTCCAGGCGATGTATTAATTGATGGTACTAAATTGGGTATTCGTGCTGGACATATTCCTAATCAAAAATTTATTTATACATCACCAACTATAGCTTATTCAAGTAGTTTAGCATATTGTCCAATTTATGATTTTCATTCAACAGAAAATAATACTGATTATCAAACTCAGATTGTTCTTCAGTGTCGACAAATGCCCGACAGTTTTAAAATCGGACCAGAAACAATTGGAGCTGGTAATAATCAAATTTGTCCACATATACCAAATTCTAAAATTGAATATTTTACTGATAGAAGAGCAACACTTCTTGCTTATGGAATACTTGTAAGGTTTCGACCAAAGAATAAGTAATTATAATATGAGAAATTATTGTAATTTTCTTTTCATTTGTAATCGAAGGCATTCAATTCATTTTTTATGTGAATTTTTTGTATTATTTTTTTTTTCAAAAAACAAAAATTGAATAATATAACGATTTAATAATCGATAAAAAAATTCTTCAATTTTCTTTTGTATTCATTTAGATTCTTTGCTAAATATTAATATTTTCTATTTTAAAAAATCATATGAGAAAAAGAGACATTTCAATATTCATGATAACCAATAGTCAACAGAAAAAAAAAATAGTAAGTAAATGATATTTGCTCGATTTTCATTTGATAAGATCACAAGCAACATAATTTGTTTATCAAAAATTCAGACTTATATTACAATGATGTTGAACAATTATATTTTATTTTCTTGCATCAGTTGATTATCTGCTGTATTATTCTTAAATTTAAACCAATGTGTGACTAAAAGAAAAGCTGTTAACACAATCACTGTGGAACAGAAGTGTGAAACACGATATAAATGCTGTTAATAACCACAGAGAGATTGTTTTATTAATATCTACTTTGAGACTAGATATGTGCGAGACCAAGTTTTTTTTGGTACCGGTCCCGGTCTCGATCCCGCTGGCTTAGGCTTTTGACTTCCAGCTTTTTTACGAAAATCAAATTTTTGAAAAGTAATGTTTGAATTTGATTTTTATCTTTTCACAAAGAAATTTCGTTTCTGTTCTAAATAACGTTCATAGTTCATCTCTGTACGATAGTCTTTGAAGCACTTAACAATACGTAGTGATACATTATAGTCGGGACATCTATACCATCTAACAACAATAAGAAGCTTTCCTAAACTGTTAAAAACATATACTAATGTGGTCTTTATCCGATAAATACATTTGAACACATATATGTGTCACCGGGAGCAAAACAGTTCATTTGAGGATCTTGATTCGGGTTTTAGTCTTGATCTAGAGACAAGTAATCAGAATTTATTCCTATTACATCGAAAATAATTCCTCAATACTTCTTTTTTCTTAATTTAGTTTGTCGATGACAAATTTTCAGATCATTTCCCTTGAATTATAGTCTAATTCAATTCTAGTAACCATTTTTGGTTTCAGTCCTAGTCCCTGTGAAGTTTTTCTTTTGGTCCCGCACATGTCTATTTGAGACACATTTCTTCACTATCCTTTTAGTTTATCATCCAGAAATATGATAAGGAAGTAGTTCATATATGTTATAACGAGATGTTATGTATATCAGCAACGTCTGTCATGGACTGAAACGTTTTCATGATAATGTCTGCCATGATCTATAGGAAGAAGAATACAAAAGTCTACCCTATATACTTCAATACTCCTTTCAGATCGTATTTTACACGGTTTTTTTTTCGTTCTAAAATAATTAAAACTACTAATTCAGTTATATAGATTATCATTAATCTACTTATTTCATTTTGTTTTTCTTTCTCAAAATAAATTACTAATTCAAGATTTATTATTTTATCTGATTTTTTTCAATCACTTCTTTCTAGTGCCAGGATGTAGGTGCGGGTATGGGAGATCTTTGCACCTACATCCACATACCCACACCCATTTATCTCTATCGGCATTCTTCTTCATCTAACTTTCTAACATGAATTGATTCTTCAATGGATTGATTGATGTTCCAACGAATATATTTTCAACATAGAAGAATCAATTTATATCGATAATGACTGTTCTAAAAGTTTTACAACTAACTAACTACGTGGCAAATGACGTGCTGTAATCTTAATATTGAAACTTTTCTGATAATAAAATTTTAATGATTTCAATATGAATTTATTTTTGTTACTAAAATTCTATATTCTAATAAATATTATCATTGAGTAAAAGAAAGAAAATCAAATCTGATGTGAAAACTAGTGACATCTTGTATTGAAAGAAACATGAATTTTACGATGTTTCTTCCAATCAAATATTTTCTATAATAAAAACGAATGACTATTTATTCAAACTGAAATGAAAATATTTATGTTGTAATTACCAGAAAAATTTCATCTATTAAAAATTTTATTTTTTCAGATGAATAATTCATCATTTAAAATATGTTCAACATAGGAAAACGAAATATATGATGAAATTAAAAATTAATATTCATCCATGTCATGAATGTCAATTATCATTTTGTTCAAAACATCTTATGAAACATCGAGAAGAACTTTAAAAAAAAAGTTTGATTTAGTTATTATTCAACGAGATGAATTATTTGAATCAATATTGAAAAATCTTTACAAAATATTGATGGATGCAAAAACAAAAATACATGAATTAGTGTGAGTATAATAAAGAATATTAGTTGTTTAATGATAGACCATTAACAGCTGGTATCAGCTTGGATAGTTCCCTCGTGATATTTTATGAAATAATTCAAGTTAAGATGTGTTCGATGAAAACTAACAGATAAAAATCTTCAAATCATGAGTTTGTCTTGCAAGTACTTTTTTTTTTGTTACTCCGACCTTCGTATATTGACTTTAAGTTGTATTACAAAAGTATTGCGATAATCCTTCGAGAAGTATGAAAGATATAAACAATTGTAAAGTATAAATATGATTACCAATAAATCAAGTTTCTTGCCCTGATGTTTAGCTAATATATAAAATTACTATAAGTTAGACGGATGTCTCACTATATTTACTTTGTGACAGTTCGTCTAATGAAAAATATCTATGACCATTAGTATTTAAAAACTGATAACCCCGTTCTCCTACAATACTGGCCAAAAATATAGAACCACTTTGTTTTTGGTTTTTTTTTCTATAATGCCGAACAGTGAGCTCAAATTCAAATAGTGATTCTGATAGTTAATAAAGTTTCCTATTCGATACATCTTATAGCAGAGTTTCATCAATGAACCATGATGGAAAGATTACTAGAAAACCAAAATTCGTATTTTTCAAATCCGGAAAGACGTTATTGAAAAACTTTTTCGACAATGCCATCTTAAAGAGCCCAAAATTCCGAACAAAATGATGAGTCGTCACATTTTCTACGATCTTCCATTAAGAAGTTACAATCAACATAAAAAACAAAAAGAATTGAAATTTATCAAAAAATCAACGAAAATCGACTAAAAAACCACTTGTTTAATTTTTTTGTATTGACTGTAACTTTTTAATGCAAGGTGGCAGAAAATGCAACGACCCATCATTTTATTCAGAATTTTGGACTCTTTAAGATGACATTGTCGAAAAATTATTTTAACAACGTCTTCCTGGATTTGAAAAATATGGTTTTTGATTTTCTAGAAATCTTTCCGGCATGGTTCATTGATAAAACTCTGCTATAAAGTGCATCAAATAGGAAACTTCATTGACTATCAGAATCATTATTTAGACTTGCGCTAACTGTTTAGCATTATAGAAAAAACCAAAAATAAAGTGGTTCTATATTTTTAGCCAGTACTGTATATAGGGGTGTCTCAAGCGGAAGGAGGGTCGAATAGGTTATTGGTTTTTTGCTTGCGGATTCCTAAAGAAATGCGCAGCTCTCATCAATCCTGATAGCCTCGGAACACTCCTGCTTCGATACACGAAAATCTTAAATATATCAACAGAACACATCATATTAGTTATATGATATGTGGACTCACGATAGTAGATATTCGTAACATTTTAGAAGAAGTTGAATTCTATAATTTTACTTATTACTATAACAGGCATCAAGTTGCTGAACGAAATTGTGATAATGGTCGAATTGAATTTACTAGACAATTGAATAAAATAAAAGCACGATATGATGATTTTACAAAAGAATTATCCAAAATACGTGAAAATGATATTAAACAATTATTAGTTAAGATAGAACAATTTAAACAAGAAATTCATCAAATCACTATTATTCGAATGATAAATTATTTCACTACATAATCGAAATGAAAATCGTCTTATACTCTATAATACATTTGATGGGACTGAACTTGATGTTCGATTTGGTAATGTTTGTGATATAATTAGAGTCCTGTGATTCCTAGAATTTTTTCGGAGCCGAAAAAGGAACCGATGATTTTACCGTAACATACAAAATACCGAGTCATTGGATTTTTTTAGAAATTTCTACATTTTATCTTCGAAACTCTTTGTGTTTATTACTTTATCAAATAAGTAGCTACTTCAACAGATAAAAGAAAACTCAAAGAATGATATAAAGCATTAATATACAACATGTTCATATGAAATATTTATAGTATACAAGATCTAAAAAGATCGACTTCATCATTTCCTTATCCTTTACATGATCACAAAGAACAATATCATCTTCGTTATTCATTCTAAACGTCTTTTTTTTATTGTTGTAGCAATATATTATTATTTAGTTAGGATAGGAGATTGTAGAAGATGACTGTTCAACCATCTTTCTTTTCATTTCAGTTGTATCAACTTCATCAATTTTTTTATCACATGATTTTAATAATGCTGAATTTTTCTGAAAAAATAATAATAGGAGTATTTTTTGTACCAAGATTGATGTGTTTATCGATACTTATGTTTTCTACAGACGAGAAAAGTCTTTCTACAATGTTGTTCGATGCTTATACAGCATACAAATCTTGAGCTATAGAAAATTAGATCGTTAATGTTAAATTCTGTTGTCGCGGGATTATAAAACATCATCATGTCCACTAAATGAGACATTTGATGGCATATATTCATCTAACTCATACGTTGTTGTCGATTGAGAATCAAGTGAATCTGTATGGACAGATGGTGGAGTAGTCGTTGTAAATGTAGTAAATAGTATTGTTTATTGCCGTTTAATAATTTTTGTTTTAACTAACGTAAGAGCTTTTTCTTGAAAACCAGGATTACTACGAAAAATTTTCATGAATAAACGAAGGAAGGTACCGATATAAGGCGCATCTTACAACATCCACACATCTTGAAACTCTCATCCTCAAGAAAAAGTTCGGTTCCAATTTTTTTTGGAATCGCAGGGCTCTAGATATAATCTATGTTGAAACATTCAATCATTGTTTTCTTGTTGTCTGTAGACAAACAATTCTTATCTATAATCTACAATAAATGATTTTTACAATTATGTCAGAAATAAAACCAATTGATGAACATCTATTTTGGTCAATAACTGTATCATCAAATACAAATGATGCTTATATTACGTTAGATAGTAATGGTTATATTGAACGATAATCAATAGAAACACATCCGAATTGGAAATTAATTAAATATTAGAATATTAAAGAAATTTTAAAAGATTCTCATCAATGTATTCGAATATGTACAAATAAAAATCAATTAGCTATTGTTGTACTTCAACAAAATAAATATTGACATATTGATTTATTTGATCTTAATCTACAATTAATTAATCATGATCGAAAATTAAATATTTCATATGGAATAGATAAAATTGGTTTTGGTTGTTATCTTTTAGTTTTACCTGATGAGAATAATGAAACATGACTATTAACAGAAAGAACAACTCATTCATTATGGTATGTTAATGGTTTATATATTAAAACAAATTGATAAAGATATTCATAGCATATGTTTAATAATAAATAATGATCAACAATGAAAAATTGTTGTTAGTTATAATAATGAACCGAAAAGAATTGAAATTTTTAATCTCTAAATTGAATATTTTATCCAATTATTTAGATCTAAATATTTTTAGATGATGAAAAATTGATTAATGAAGCGTTCATCTTCATCTATAGATCAAGAATTAACTAACAATGATGATAAATTATATCAAGAATCTCGTACAAAAATGGTTCGACGTTCGTCACCTCGACCAGAATATAATGATGAAAAACAAAAGGAATCTAATGAACAAGCAACCGCATTGGATCAGCGCGTTGTACGGCAAGATTTGCTCTGCTTTTTGGAGGGTATTTTTTTTATCTATCACCCGAGAAATTTCATATTTCGAACTCCTTTTATCTATTGAAATCAAATTTTCAAAAAAAAAAAATTATCAACACAGCTCCTTTTTTTTCGAGACAATAGATACTTATGCGATAATGAAGTATTTCTGCAACTATTAAATCTACTGACATTCAATTGCAAAAATCATTGAACATATATCTCATTTCCGGAAAACACTTTCAACTTTGGCGTTGCTTGCTGGAATAGAAGAACACAGAATGCAGTATATAGACGATAGACCACAGTTATCTCAATTTACTTAATATTAATAGGTTTTATTGTCCTAAGTTTTTTAATAAGAACATAAACTGAAATTTCTCATATGAAAAAGTGACAACTCTGTTTCGAATACAAATTGTTTTTTTTCCGCCTTCCTGTTATTTGCTCGTTATTTTTCATTTTTGTATTTCGTTGCTAATGAACTCTGGAAAAAGGAGTCTGACACATGTTGTTCTCGGTTTCTAGCGAAACGTATGTAATGATCACTGCCTCCATCCTCGATTGTTAGAACTTAGGGTGAACCGTAAAACCCTTGATTTAAACTTATACTTACTATTTTCGAAGAAAATATAGGTGAGTTTCACAAAACTCTACACTTAACGTTTGAGATATGTTCAGATTTCCAAAAAAAAAAAAGTAAATTTCCGTAAGTGAATCATGAAATGACGCAATCACTATGACGTTATTTTCAGATGATTTCGATAATTACTACTCTATCAACAAACACCGAAACATATACAACAAATTGTCCTTCAACATCGAGCTATTCGAAAAAATTTCAGCAAATACATATATTACCATATTTTTTTCACACAAATATCAATGTAGTTTCCTATGACAAAGAAGATCGCGTAGTAATTTGAAAAATGACTGAAAAAATTTACAGAAATTACTTACATTTTAAATGAGTGACTTCTTCTCAATAATAAAGTATCTTGACATTTACATAGAAAAATATTTCATAATTCCCGTATTCACTGAAATTTCCTAGTAATTTCAAAGATTTCTAAAGAATTATGAATGTTTTGAAAGGTAGATTTTCATTCTTCGTGGGAAAATATATCGAGGATATATATATATATATATATATGGTAATTTTCGTATGTACTGAAGGCTTGTTAGCAGTTACATATTAATTATTGCAATTTAGTCTATGCTTTGCTTGAAATTTTCTCATAACGCATTATTTGCAGAAATTTCTGAATATTGTGCCTTTTTTGTTTTGGATGTTTAGATGTTCTGAACATAGTTGGAAAGTTCTTCTCTTGCGGATTGTTCGATATCGAAATCATCTGGTAGTTGTTCAGTGATATATCAGATTTTAGGAAATTTTCTGGAAACTTGAGTATTTTCCAACAGACTGTTTTGAAGAAAATAATGGTAAGTTTTGAAGTTTCTTGTTGATATAGTTTTTGAACTTTGAGTTTTCATGAAAGAAATTTACCTTTTTTTTTTTTTTTTTGGAAATCTGAATACTCTTGATAAATTGAATTTTTTTTTAAATATCAAATGATTGAAGAATCGTTCGATATAGACTGTTCACTTTTGTCTAACTACATTTTGTATTTCAAACTTTTATTCTATTAAAATAATTTTTTATTCTATCCTTTCCATTAATAAATTCTTTTTGTTTTGAAAAATATAGAGAATTAAACAATATATTATATATAATCTGAAATCAAGATTTCTGCTCTATTAATTGATAAGAAAAATTTTCGTTCTGAAAAACTTATTATTCTTTTTACGCTAAGGGTTTTTCAAAAAGGCGTCTTCAATTTTCCATTAATCCGAAAACTTCCAGCAAATGTTCTTCTATATTTGAGGCATATATATATTTAATTAGCGCAAATACTTTTCTACGTCAAATACAAGTTTTCTAAAAAAATTAGCGTAGAAAACTCCATTGAATAATGTACTATTTTTCATTATTTAAGTTTAATTAGTATTCTCTTGCGAATATTTAAGAAATAAATGGAAAATTTTCATTTTTATTTTAGTGTGACAAGACATCTTACCGATTACCTCGTTATTCATTAATTCTCGGTTCATTTTCTGAACCTCCAACATATGTTATACATTTTCTTGATTCACATTTGACATTTTTACAAAGTTTTCAAATTTGTTCATTATTTGGTCGTGTTCGTATTCATGGATATACTCTTCATCCATCAACATTTTATTCAGTTTATAACTATCGTACCAATAGTCCACTCTCAATTGAATTTATTAATTCGAATACAACAACAACAACAACAACAACATTTTTACCAGATATAAAATCTTTTATTAGTGATATTCAATTAGCTGAAAATGCTCTTTTTAACGTACAACAAAAAGGTGGTGATATAATTTTAATACGAAAAGAATCAAATAATGATTTATCATTTATCAATATTATGCGAGAACATCAAACTTATAAAAATTGGTTTTTAGAAAGTTATAATTTATTTGAACAAGATAAATGGAAACAATTAGAACAAAATCTTCATATTCGTTTAATTGAAACAACAGATCAAATTGCTGTTATTCCTCGTGAAGTATATATTTCAACTGTTGATCATATTATTAATCGATGGTTAAATGAAACTTTAGAAGGTAGATAATTTTTGTTTTGAATAAGAATCTATCATTGAATTTTTTTTTTTAGATTTACCATTTGTAGTTTTAATTTGTGGTGAAAAAGATATGGGTAAATCAACATTTATTCGTTATCTTACTAATCGTGCTCTTAATCATATTAATTCAACATTTAGTTTAACATATTTTGATTGTGATATAGGTCAATGTGAATTTAGTATAGGTGGATGTTTATCTTATATTAATCTTGATTCACCATTATTAGGACCACCTTGTTCTCATATAAAATCAAATCCAAAACCTGATCGTCTTCTTTATTATGGTCTTGTTTCACCGCAAACATCACCTGTACGTTATTTACAATATGTTAATAAATTAAGACAATTATGGAATATAGATCAAAA